TATTAACTAAATTAATTAGTAGAGGTAGCACAGAAGAACACAAAAGTGGCTTGGTGTACTTTCAGACATTTAATGAGGCTCAGAAGTGGAATAAGTGCTATTAAATCCATAAATTCATGATGATATTAATGTTTTAAATATACAATTTTGAATATAGAAATATTAAATGATTTAAATAACTGAAAAGATACTTTTAAAATGAAACAAACTGCCAGCAGGTGGCGGTAAGTCACTGATATTTATCACTGAATCATTCATTCAATTGATCCATTCGAACGGCTGATTCATTCAGGAATGAATCAAGTGACTGTCTTTATGAATGCGTAATCATGAATCACTGACTCTCTAGATTCATTTAAAAAACAAAAGTTCATTCATAAACGAAACACTGCTGTGACGGACTCTCCGTTGTAACATCGCGCAAGGCAAATAAGGGGCTGACATCTAGTGGATTAGACTAGTAATAAGATTAACGTAAATCTTATGTTCAATGTTTGCGGAAATAAATATTGAAAAAAATCGATTCGTGGCCTTTGAGAATTGATATTGAATCGACCACATTTTAAAAAACGATATATCGAAAAATCTATTTTTTTGCCCAGCCCTATTAATTACATTGTGCGAGCTGTCTCTTTAATACCGCGTGGTTTATATACATGCTGCTGCTGATTGGGCTGACATGTTTGACACACCCACCAAACAAGAGAAACACATCTCAAACCCCGTTGCACACCGTTTACAGGAAACATGTCGTTCAACCCGGAAACTGTAGCAAAACGCTGCACACCGGTTTGAGCTTGAACTTGCCCCAGGTTGACGCTGGACATGACATCGGACAGACATTGCATTTTTTTATTATTATTATTAATTCAAACAAAGTTAACATAAAATTTCAACACATATTCATAAAGGATGTTCACATTATAACATGACCATAAACATTCAGAGAACTGAAAAAAAAGAAGGAAAACAAAACAACAACAGATATTTCTTTCTTTTCCCTGAAGACATATTTTTAAAAAATACATGAAATTGAGATATATAGCGGGGGCATTACTTATGTAAAAGAAATTTGACAGACATTGCATTTTGGTTGAGAATGAAAAGCGGGTTGACGTCAGTATTTGACGCCGATTTGACGATGACTTAATGTTGGATTTTGGTTACACAACCTAAAAACAACAAATATCAACGTCAGCTGACGGCGGTATTGGACATCAAATTAACATTGACATTAGACATTGAATTGACATTGAATTTTAGTCCTCCGACGTCACAACCGAAATTTAACCAAATATAGATGTTGCGTGCATGCTGGGTAAAATTAGTAATATTGAGAATATTATTACAATTTAAAATGTATTTTAAAATGTAATTTATTGCTGTGATGCAAAGCTGAATTTTCTGACAGCTGACATGTTCAGATCACTTAGTTTTGTCGTGGCCAACTCGTGGGAACGTGATATTATGTCGTGGCCTCGAGATGCTATGTTGAGGGAACGACATCCATTTCTCGTGGCCACGACTTCTTATGTTGAGGGAACGACATTTTTCTCATGGCCACGAGTTTAATGCATACACAAACCTGCGTGACCATAGCAACCCGGGATTATCAGAGAAGGATTCATTAATATTTTATTTTGAAGTAAGAAATTATTATATTATTTATTATAGAAATTATAACATTATTAATTTATTATATTAACCATAGGTCTTGGCTACCGGACTGTATTATGTGTGATAGTCAGCATTCAAATGAAGTTTATCATGAATAAATGTTACAAAAAGTGTATAATATAAAATATAAAAACTTTTATCCATCCTACAGTCTTGTAAGTCCATGAACTAATCGTCTTTTTCCCATAATATTTGTGTATTATTATTATTATTATTAGACTATTATTATTGGTTATATTTTTATATTCGTTTATATAAATTTTTTTCCTTCATTTCGATCTCTTTACTTAACGTTCTGAATACTTTTGTAAATAATACCCTACTGTAAATGCTCGATATGCCAATAAAGCTTTGATTATGCTGACTGGAATTTTTGCTGGAATGCAGTTTAAACTGAACATATATTTAATTTTATTTCGGGCTAATTAATAGACCATAATTATAAATACTATAGTGTTTTGTTGAGGAATTAATCATTCACTAGTTTCATTTGTAAATGAAAACACAACACGCTCATTTATCATCACACATGGGCATAAATACAATCATAAAGTCAAAACTTTATTGGCATAATTGTCAGGCGTTCATTTGCAAAATATATGGTAGGCTAGCAAATGCTAGCAAATGCTAGCATAATTATACAAAATGTTAACTAGGTAAAGCGATACACAAATTGAAAGGGGAAATAAGCATATATAACAATAAATATAAAAATATAGCCATAATAAGTTAATGTAATAATAATAATAATAATATACAAATATTAAATTAAATGTTTAATGTTAAAGCTGCAGTCCGTAAGTTTTGTCTCTTTGTCGCCATCTCTGTTCGAAAACCTGCAATTGCAGCTGTGTGCGGAAATATCTTCCTTGCGTGAATTGTGCTCCGCTGTGGCTCCAGCGTGGATGAATCTAATGTTCTAAAGAGTATGTGTGGCAGTCAGTCACAGCACCGGTGTGGATATTTACTGTACTTTGCAATCACAGATTCTAGCCTACGTCTTGGAATATATGACCCAAATAAGAATTTTCACTGGATATTGTCAACTGAACAAGTGAGTAACAAGCAGTGGTGTATTGTAGCGAAGTAATAATACTTTGTTACAGTACTTAAGTATTGTTTGGGAGTATCTGTACTTCACTTGAGTTTTTATATTCCTGCCAACTTTTACTTTTACTCCATTACATTTCCTAATTAAAATGTGTACTTTTACTCCGATACATTTCCCCGAAGCATATTCGTTACTTACTACAAAATAGTCAGAAGTCAGAAGAACACGGACTGCAGGAAAGCAGATTTGACGAATCAGTGGTCCGGCGTTTGCAAGTTAGACTCCTAAAAACACTTTTGCTCATGTGCAAACAAGTGTGCGCACAACCGCGGATGATTCATTTTCCACTCAAGTCGAGTCTGGGGTGTGCGATACACAGCATCGTCTGCGATAATATGGTAAGTGTTGTAATGATGTGCGATCTGACATTATCAAGTAACTTCTAGGTTACTAGGTAATTACCAAATGACACACAGAGTGCACACACGTTGATTTATTAGCCTATTAAAACTCAAAATTCCAGGCATTCTAAATTGTAGACGGCAAAAATGCTTCTGTATCTTAATCTATATCACTTAATCTATATCACACAAAGAGTACCGTTTTTCTGCAGATGATAACACATTTAATAATCATTTTATACAAGATCAGTAAAGCAAGGCTTACATTTTAGACATAATATTGCCTGTTTTTGCTCAATTTTGTTAATGAATATAGTTCCAAACAAAGATCACAGCACTGTTTTGCATCTCTGAGCAATGGACAGTGTTTACTTATTGAATGAATCAGCTTTTTGAACGATTCGGTTGAAATATGATTCAGTGATTCACTCATTAAACGCAGTCAAATGCTTTGTTTCTGAATGAAAACAACTCTCAATGACTCACTCATTAACAGTCACTTGCTGTCACTTACTGGCGGTTTTAATTTCACATTTCGACAATTTTTTTCAATTATTTCATTATTTCAAATATCAGTATTCAACATTTTATGTTAAAAACAAAACATTAGGCCTATTTATGCATCTGTAACTGCAGGTTAAATGCATCCATGTCCCCTTTGAGATACATTAAACTGTGTAAATACATCTAAATGCTATTTCAGATGCAGATTCCAGAAATGTTTTCTTATGTTGGAATGAAAGACACTAAGTACCGGATGAAGTGCTTCTTATTCTTACCCAAAAATACAAAATGGAAGAAAGAGTTAAAACTGAACACAATCTTGCTACTCAAGCAGTGTATGAAATTTGTTTTATATACATTTATTTGTTTCTTACTTATTTGCTTTTACTTTTAATACTTCAGTACGTTTAAGACTTTAAAAAATACTTTTCGTACTTAAGTACAATAAATATCACATACTTTAAGACTTTTACTCAAGTAATGTGCTAAACGGTGACTTTAACTTCTACCAAAGTCATTTTCTGATAAGATATCTGTACTTTTACTTGAGTATGGCTTTCAGGTACTTTATACACCACTGGTAACAAGTCTGCCACGTTTGTTCTGACCAACTGAGGAAAAAAGCATTACAATAAATCGCGCTACCAATGGTGATTTAATCTAAATTAGCTCATATCACATCAAACTGTGCAAATTATTATTATTGTTAAACTTTATTCTCAAATTCTTAGTTAACAACATCAGCAATTGCGTGACTATGTGTATAGTGTGTATCAGTGTGTGATTTCAGTTTTTGTACAGTCTAATCTCTAATTGTCATACAATTCGAATTTCATATTTAGAAATTATTTTAACCCAAAAATCTAATTATGTTATTATGTTTTTTTTAAAACAATGGCAACCATTCAGAACACCCTAGTATCATGCTAACAAAAACAGAAATTTTCTTCACAAAACATACCCTACCTACTGAGCACTAAGCAATACAGAAGCATGAGGAATTGACATTACTTTGAGCGACTGATTGAGTCATTGTCTCCATTAATTAGAGAAAGTGGAGAGGGCGAAAGAGCGAGAGAGAGGCCCAAGGCTGACAGTTATTGTGTGTGGTGTGTCTGCACTCCATTGAGTAACTGCAGACCTTGTCTGTCCTTATATTTATCATCACTTGCATTCAGCATCAAATGAAAAGAGAAAACTGGACACCTTCTAGCTTTTGACTGCCAAGGCCAAAAAACAGTTGGCTATGGCTTTAATTGTGTCTTGTCCACTCTATTTTTCCACCCTCCTTTTTTTCCATCTTTGGCAGGCTTGTCGCTTGGAGTCTACAGCCTGCGGGAATAAGCCAGAGAACAGAGTTACTGTGGCAAAGCCACTCATCGCTTCTATCAGCTGAGTTTCCTGTTACAAAATCAACACAGTTTCTCTCATCTACAAACGCTCAGAGGTAGGAACTCCTTTTCAGGGTCACATTTCACCTTGAGGGGATCAATTTGCACATTTTACATCAGTTTACTGGCATGCTGCTGCTTGAAAGATAAGTGAAGTAATTAAGGAAACCGAAAATTAAATAAGACCTCATTTTGAGTGAAATCTGCTTCTCTCAAATATGGCAGACAACTGAACAAGCTAAAAAAACGCTTGTCTTCCTCCTCCACCATTTCATATTTTCTGCATCCTGCAGTCTGTAGATCATTACCTATCTCTGTTCTCTTCTTGAATGTCAGTGGTCTACTCTGGAGGCAGCCCATTAAAAGCCTTGTTCTACTGCCGTCATCTGCTTCTCCTACATACGCATCAAATTATCTCTTTATTCCAAGAGGTCATAAGGACACAAAATTGGCAATGTGTAAAACTGAATTCACATTATCAGGACCTGATTTTCTTTCAGCTCTGAATTTCACCGGTGGCGTTAACTGGTTAACCATTTCAACATCATTAAAAGAATGATAGATAGATAGATAGATAGATAGATAGTATAGAATACTGAACAGAATCTATATATTGTATAGATTGTATAGAAAATTATTTTCATATTCCACAGGAAAAAATAATTATACTACTTTTTAACTTTTTATTGATGATGTCATCTTTAGCACATGGCATAAACAAAGTTTTGTCCAGTAAAATGCTCTGTTCCCTCATTTTTAGTCCTAATTACCTCCAATAATACAGTTACTCACATACATGAAATAAGCAAATAATCCTACCTTCTGGACACATGATCATCCTCCTATATTGTTGACAGTGAAACTCTTCATCAGAACCGTTACCCTCAGATGCAGGTTAATTTTCTTCTTCATCACTCTCTAACTCTGGCAGGTCTGCAAGGCCAAAGTTGTGGTGAGAAATACTCCACAGCTGAATGTGAAATATCTTCTTTGCTTTTCAGGGTACAAACTTGCCCAGCTGTGATGTTAACTAAAGGCTAATGGTTAAGTGTTTTTTTTTTAGGACAAAAACTTGTACATATAAATATTTCCCATCCATACTGAACAGAATCTATATATTGTATAGAAAATTATTTTCATATTCCACAGGAAAAAATAATTATACTACTTTTTAACTTTTTATTGATGATGTCATCTTTAGCACATGGCATAAACAAAGTTTTGTCCAGTAAAATGCTCTGTTCCCTCATTTTTAGTCCTAATTACCTCCAATAATACAGTTACTCACATACATGAAATAAGCAAATAATCCTACCTTCTGGACACATGATCATCCTCCTATATTGTTGACAGTGAAACTCTTCATCAGAACCGTTACCCTCAGATGCAGGTTAATTTTCTTCTTCATCACTCTCTAACTCTGGCAGGTCTGCAAGGCCAAAGTTGTGGTGAGAAATACTCCACAGCTGAATGTGAAATATCTTCTTTGCTTTTCAGGGTACAAACTTGCCCAGCTGTGATGTTAACTAAAGGCTAATGGTTAAGTGTTTTTTTTTTAGGACAAAAACTTGTACATATAAATATTTCCCATCCTAAATGTCCACTAAGACATGCTCGGTGGGGCATAAATAAATGTCCTGCTGCTAAAATATATCGTATTTTCACTCTCTCCTACGCACACATTTAATAGATATACTGAAGTGCTAAGCAGCCTAAATTACAATCAAAGAGTGAGCGTGTCAGATATTATTGCTGGAAACCTACACACACAAAAAAAACTACTGAACATTTGTACAATTTATACTGAAAGTTAACTTTTTTTCTTTTCCAGCGTGGTATGGTGGGTTTCCAAAGATTAATACAAGCACCCTCAGAGGAACTGTGAATCATTCCTTTCAAGAGCTTTCAGGGCCTTTATGGGCTCAGAGCCAAACAGAGAGAGCTCTTAGAAAAAAGTTTTGGAAGAGATAGACAGTTTTTCCTCACTGTACAAACAAAGCATGTGATCATTTCATTAGGTTGGTAAACAAATACTCTGGGTTCTAGTTAAGTTCGGTTGACTGACTCCTAAAGAAAATTAAATTAAATTAAATAAACTGATGAAGCATGCAATAAAAATAAATAGGGCCATTTTTTAAATAAAGAAAAAAATGATGTAATGTGTGTATATAGATATACATATACATATATATAATAAAAAAAATTGCAAATAAAAAAATTAACTAATAAAATGAATAAATTAAAAGTGATTGTCAGTCACACATAATGAAACAACTGAATTTACTGAAACTTGCATAATACAATCAGAATGTTTTCATAATGACCATAAACACAATAACCATGTTTATATATTTATCATCAATAAATAATAATTCATCAATAATTGAAAATACGATTATTTAAATAAAATCATATAGATGCAGATACTGGATAAATGATACCATGATACATTTTTTGAGTATTAAAACTATACTATTGCATTATCTGAGCTGTGAAGTATTTTATCATCATTTTACAGTCATTTTAGGGTTTTGGCCATTGTATTGCCATGGAAACTAAGTTGTAAAATGGTATATAATGTTCCACAGAGTGTTTCTGCTGTTTTTTCCACATCATATAGTTCACAGATCACAGCCGGAGTTCAGTGTGCTACTGTGGGATCCATAGTGATGGAGAACATTGAACTTTGCACAGCACTCTGAGATCAATGTTAATCGCATGGTGATATGATCAGCCAGTCCAATTTCCCTCCAGCAGCGCGTGAGGTGCACCAATTATAAGTCAACAGAGGGAGGTGAGAAAAAAGAGGTGCAGGTGTGTGTACAGAAGCTCGTTTTCAGGAAGTGTGTGTATGTTTGAATTCCTGTCCTCATTTGTTTACTCATTGCAGAACAGGATGCGAACAGACAGCGTGTATCTCGTCTCTCTTCTTCTCAGCACCTGTCATGAGGAGGAGCTGGGACTTGTGCCAATCGTATCTAACACACATGCAATATCCTTTTTTTGTAATGCTTTGATGCAGTTATTGTTCACTTTATCGGTTTCATAACTCAAAACATGCCATAAGATCACTTAAAATGTATTGCATTGATATTGTGGAATCAAATTGCAGTACTATGATACTTTGAAAAATAACATGGTAACTTCTGCTAAGCTTCTGCTATGGCCATTCCAGTCCTCTGACCTGAACCCTATAGAAAATGAGCGGTGAACTGAAGAGGAGAAGCATCACCATGCAGCTGGGAATCTGAAGGGTCTGGAGAGATTCTGGATGAAGGAATGGTCTCTGATCTCTTGTCAGGTGCTCTCTAACCTCATCAGGCATTATAGGAGAAAACTCAGAGCTGTTAAACTGGCAAATGGATGTTTCAAAAAGTATTGAATAAAAGGGTGCCATTAAATGTGGCCAATGTGAATTAGAGAAAAACATTTATGTCATAATGATGCTTCCCCCCATTTGAAATTCTTATTTGTCAATGAAAGGTTAGATTTTTGTGATTTTTTTTTAAATAAAAGATCAAAAGGATTAACAATGCAGATTAATTTTCACAGCCTTCTTTGATCATATTTACCAAGGGTGCAGATATTTTTGGCCATGACTGTGTACCATAATATGTGCTCCAAGATGCCTTAAAGAATACCATTATATTACCATACATGTTCAAATAGGCTATAGTGATGTCCAAACATTATAATATTGTCAGCACGCCTGATATATAATGGGATACGAATGAATGAACTATAATGGGATACGAATACTGCACTCATTTCACTGACCTATACTTTCATTGTACAGAACTGGTTCATTGCTTTTGTCTACAAGACAAAGATCATGTCACCATGACGACTTTAGCAAACAGCACGTTTATGGCCTTGGTGACAGAAGCGAGAACTCGTTTGGGTTTTGTGAGGTAATTTATTTATTTTTTAATAAGTCTTAAATATTTTTCATGTATGTATAGTTTTATGTTTGATCGGAGATGTTTATAATGCTAGATATGAGCTTTCCATAGAGAGGCATCTGAAAATGTTTGCTTAAATGTTACCATGAGGTTTTTATTGATCTCAGTTATTGAATCATCTGAAGTTCACCAAAACGATTCAATCAGATTCGTTCACTGACCCTTTCTGCAAGTTATGTTCATTTCGCCAACAGGTGCCGACAATAGTAGCCTATCGTTTGTGCGTTATGAATGACTGACTCGTCGAATCGCTTCCTTATGCAACCACAAAATTCGTTTTTAATAATTAAACGTTTAAAACTTAATACATTTTAGATATGTATCTACAAATCTAGTCAGGAACAGTGTTCAAAGAGTACAAGAGAGAAGTGAACCCACATGAAAAAATACTATAGTAGTTTATAGTAAATACTATAGTGTTTTTGAACCATACTATAGTAAAGTGTATTATACTGTATATAATATAGTATTTACAACACTTTGTTAATGAATGCTACAGCATACTGTAGTATTAACTGTAGTGAACTGATAAACTGTAATAAATACTGTAGTGTACTTTAGTTTTTACTTCAGAAAACTGTAGTGTATTGTAATATAATATACCCTAGAGTTGTAGAAAACTTAAAAAAGTAATTTGCTTGTATTACTATACTTGTTATATTACCACAGCAACTATAGAATTACCACAACAAATTAATTTAAGTGCTTTATAGTATGGTTCAAAAACACTATATTATTTACTACAAATTACTATAGTATTTTTTGTTTCACGTTTAAGGGAAAGTACACTTAAAAGTATACACTGAAAAAAATATCTGGAGGATTTACCCTACTTTAAAACAGTTTTCACTCAAAAATGTCTAGTAAGTTTCATAAATAGTTACAAAGAAACGGCAAGTAACAAATTGAATTAAAAGTGACATTTTGAAGTAGAAAGACTAAAATAGCATTTCCTTGTAAAATATACATCAACAATAGCCTATTTGTTTTATTTACAGCTTAAGCCCGAAACACACTGCATGATTTTCGGCTGTCCCAGACAAAAGACTGGCATCGTGAAACAATCATGGCTATTTCTGTGATCGTGGCACCTAATCGGTGCTCCTGCGTCATACAGTGAGAGAGGTTCAAAGACTGCCGTTGTCTCAGTCTTGCAACCAAAGATAGCCTACGATCATTTTCTGACAGTGTCAGAAATACAGCATGATCATCGTACAGTGTGTTTGCTGCTACAATCCACGTCTACTGACCAACCAATAAAAATGCGACATGAAATCAACACGACATGGCGCTAAAACATAAAAATTGCCGTAGCATACCGATTAGGAGCCACGATCACAGAAATCGCCACGATTGTTTCACGATGACAATCTTTCGTCTGGGACAGCCGAAAATAGTGCAGTGTGTTTTGGGCTTTACGTTACCCAGCTAACAGGGAACATTCTCAGAATTTGGACTAATATTCTCTCAAAGATATGAACAAACATTCTTCCAGTAACATTAATGTTAAACGTTAACAGTTTGGTGTGCATGAAAAATCTGTGTATGAAAAATAAAACAAACTTTTGGCTATGTTCTTGTCAGCTTGAAAAAAAATTATAATAATTTGTTGCGCAGGTCATGATTGCACACTCTTGAAAGATGGCAGGACGAGAATCTCGGAGCAGTGTTTGTGTGAAGATGTGCCCTCAGCAGAGAGCTCGTCATGAAGCCTACAGCGAGCTGTCTAAAGATGCTCAGAGCTGGATGGCAGCGGCGAGTCAGCGCGTGTGCGCACACCTGAATAATCAAAAATCCCACCAAGTCTGCAAACTCACCACTGCTGCTGAGCGTCAAAATCAACTCACAGCACAATTAAAAGCCGCCGAGGCTAGGAATCGTGTTAGACAGCTGAGACAACACTATCAAAACCTGAAGGCAGGGGATTTCCTTAAAATAATAGTTTATGTATTATGTGCAAACACTTAAAGGTGCCCTCAGTAATTCCATCTTTACGTTACCATGGCCAATATCGGTATGATGGTTGTACAGAGTCAGCCATGATTGATTGATTGATTTATTGATTTCACATGCAAGAGCAATATTTAGCTGATCATGTGATTTTAACATTTCTACTCCAATGAGGTCAAACACATGCAAAATAAAAATGCTTTGTTGGGTTAGCTACTTATATGACACTTTATACTTTAAAAAAAAGAGTAGGCCTAGGCTACTTATGACGGAAATAATATAAAAGATAGCTACTGGAGTACAACTGAATGTACTTTAATGTAATTTCTGCTGAAACTTTTATGTCATGTATTTAAATATATTTGCAATTACATATTTATAACGATTAGTTTGTAGTTTAGGACATTTAAAAATATATTATTCCAAAGTAGGCTACACTTTTTAACTTTTTTGTACTAAAGTGTGTAAAGAAACATAGTCATGCAAGTGTACGCTCTACATTTAAGTGGCCTTTTATTTAATTAATATTATTATTATAAGTTCAGGTTTTATTTAATAATTGTTTTTGACCTCACTCGTAATGTTAACATTATTGACGTCTTCAAAAATGACAGACTTCTCTCAGGAACAATCAATGAACTGAATGAAGTCCCAAGATTTTTCTTTTCCGATAATCCATGACACCCAGATATATGACACAATCTCAAAGAAAAGATCTGTTGCTACTTCAATTTCATTGTGACTTTAAACACATTTTTCAAAAATGTATTTCTTTAGGATAAAACTTTAACGGTGAATAAAATAAATAATACTAAGTGCACCTTTAATACACAAAAACACAAGACCCCTATAGTTACCCAAGTGTGAACATGTTAATGATATAAATCTCATCCAATTCTTTGAAAGGAAACTCAATACAGCATTTGCCTCCTTGAAGCTTGCCTAAAAGTCTAATCTCTCTCTTCGCAAATGTTCAGGAGCAGGAAATTAACTTAATGATTTCATGCCAGTCTAACGCGCAGAGGGCTATACGCCTGGAGCAGCTACTCCCTGTGAGAGAGAGGAAGATACACCACACAGACTGCATGGACCAATTACAGGTGGATATATTTGCCTAAAACGATCACCTTTTCTTTTCTTTTATTATAAATATAAATGTATTACAAGGAAAATGCCAAGTCAGGACCTAAAATGTTTTTCAACAATGGCAGGAGGAGCATATCTTTGCTTCATTTCCCCTTTCCCACTGCTGTGATGTCGTAATAACGTTAAGCAGCTCCCAGTTGACAATTTCTCATCGACCGTCACAGTCCTGATGGTATCTCCTAAATAAGCATGACCAGAGAATCAGAGAGAGGAGAGAAAGAGAGAGAGAGGATCTCCTCCACATATTCTAACATGTGGAGGAACACGTTCCCATTATCTCCCCCCAGCAGGAGTGACTGCTCCTGTTTTGTCTCAGCCTTTATTTTACCCTGAAGGGTTCTTCAATTAACAAAAAAAAAAGCATTTATAAGAATCATGACAACGGGGGTCCTATCTGACTGTTCTTTCAAAGTCATGTTATCTTTAGATGGAAAATGTCAATGCAGTGCCAAGTGTCATCTGTGTAACATCGGCATACTTGGTTCAACTGCTGCCATGCGAGACCCTACAGTGATGGGACTGACATTACTGCATCATGACATTCAGAGTGTTCAGGGATTCAGATTGATCTGTTATTGTGTGAGGGGCTCAAAAAGTGCACACTTACATCAAACCTGCATGAGATTAGTCCTTTGGGGCTTCATCGGCTGTTGGTAGTATATTAATGACAAGTGACGGGTTAAAATATAAAATTTGGAACTGTCCAGCTGAACATGACTGAGATTGTGTGTTTTTCTTTCCAAACCTTGATACAAATTTCTGTCTTCTGCTGAACGTTATGAATATATACATATATATATATATATATATATATATATATATAGGCTATTTATAAATGTTTCCAAGGCAACATTTATGATTTTCATGTAGTTTACATTTTTATAT